ATAACCAGTCCACCAGTGCGGAGCCTGTCATTCCGGGAGTTTAGAAGTATCATTTGCATCAGAACACTAAACCCGCCCCCCGCCACAGTCTGCGTCCCCGGTTTAAAATATTCCCGCGAAAACAGCAATACAGACAACGGTGTTCATTAAAAAATCGAAATGATTTTATTTTTTGGGAAGGGGAAGGGGGTGAAGGTTGTATGTAACTGGAGAGGATAGTCAAAATGGACTGGGTAAAGAAACGGGGGCAGGTTCAGCTTTTCTGTCCACAAACTGAAAAGTCACTGGTTGCCCTGCTCACTCAGGAACCTAGCTTTCAAAGCCTCCCGGATGCACAGGGCGTCCCGCTGGGATCTTCTAATGGCCCGGCTGTCTGGCTGGACGTAATCAGCAGCCAGGCTATTTGCCTCTAGCTCCCACCCCGCCATAAAGGTCTCCCCCTTGCTCTCACACAGGTTGTGGAGCACACAGCAAGCTGCAATAACGATGGGGATATTGGTTTCACTGAGATCACAGCGAGTGAGTAAGCTTCTCCATCTCCCTTTGAGACGGCCAAAAGCACACTCCACCACCATTCTGCACTTGCTCAGACGGTAGTTGAACAGTTCTTTTTCTGTGTCCAGGGCGCCAGTATAGGGCTTCATGAGCCAGGGCATTAGCGGGTAGGCTGGGTCCCCGAGGATGACTGTAGGCATCTCCACATCCCCAAGAGTTATTTTGTGGTCTGGGAAGTAAATACCTTCCTGCAGCCGTCTAAACAGACCAGAGTTCCTGAACACGCGAGCGTCATGAACCTTGCCCGGCCATCCGACGTAGATGTTTGTAAACCGTCCCCGATGGTCCACCAGTGCTTGCAGCACCATTGAAAAGTAGCCCTTTCTATTGATGTACTGGCTGGCCTGGTGGTCCGGTCCCAGGATAGGGATGTGAGTCCCATCTATAGCCCCACCGCAGTTTGGGAATCCCATCGCGGCAAAGCCATCTATGATGACCTGCGCGTTTCCCAGGGTCACTACCTTTGGGAGCAGTACCTTGACGATTGCCTTGGCTACTTGCATGACAACAACCCCCACGGTAGATTTGCCCACACCAAAGTGGTTCGCGACTGACCGGTAGCTGTCCGGCGTTGCAAGCTTCCAGAGGGCTATGGCCACTCGCTTCTGGACAGTGAGGGCTGCTCGCATGCGGGTGTCCTTGCGCTTCAGGGCAGGGGACAGCAACTCACAAAGTTCGAGGAAAGTCCCCTTCCGCATGCGAAAGTTTCGCAGCCACTGGGATTCATCCCAGACCTGAAGCACTATACGGTCCCACCAGTCCGTGCTTGTTTCCCGGGCCCAGAATCGCCGTTCAACAAAATCCACATGCCCCATTGCCAACGTCATGTCCTGGGCGCTGGGGCTCGTGGTTTCTGACAGCTCTGTGCCACTCTCCGACTTCAGGCTCTCACGGCGGTGCCGTAGCCTCCTCGCCCGATTTCTCTGCATCTGCCTCAGGGAAAGGTGTATGATAAGCTGCGAGGTGTTGAGAACGGCCACAAGTGCAGCGATGGTCGCAGCGTGATCCATGATCGCAGTGCTGTGGCGTCCGCGCTGTCACTGACCAGAAAAGTGCGCGAACTGATTTCCCGCCGGCGCTTTCATGGAGGGAGGGAGGGCGTTAGTGACGGACGGATGACGACAAATTTTTTTTACCCAGAAGGCATTGGCGGCTCGACCCAGAATTCCGATGGGCAGCGGGGACTGCGGGAACTGTGGGATAGCTGCCCACAGTGCACCGCTTCCAATATCGACGCTCGCCCCGTTAGTGTGGACTCACAAAGTCGAATTACTGTCCTTAGTGTGTCCTTAGTGTGGACACACACGTTCGACTTTGCAATATCGATTCCACATATTCGATTTAAGTAAAATCGAATTACCCTCGTAGTGTAGACATACCCTTAGTGTTTTCAAGGCATACCTTGAAGCAAATAGACTAGGTTACTTGTGAAAGCCAATTTTAACAAGTAATCACGCCCTTTGCTCTATAGTGTATGGAATCTGCTTCCTTATGAAATCAGCCTCAGCTCATCCTAACCCCCTCATCCCCACCCCCCAAAAATGCATGTTGTGAAATTCCTGAAATATCAGTTTCTTAACATTTTTGTATGGTTGCAGAAATGAACTTGGATTTGGTTTCCTTTGGGGGGGGGGGGGGGGGGTTTTTTTTTTTTTTTTTAAAAATGTTTTTTTAAAAAAAAAATTTTAAAGGGGCAAAGGTTTAAGGAAAAAATTTTTTTTGCAAAAATTAAAAAAAAAAAACCAACGTTCTTAACCTTCATAAATGAAGGATCTGTTTGGTGTCTGGGAATGCTAATTGCTGCACAACTTGGCTGAGCCCCTTGGCAAGAAATGCTAATACAGTATTTTGCAGTCTAATGCTTCTCTTGTCTCCAGTATGTAAAGCATCAGGTACAGAAAAATGTACCTGATTCGAAGAACTTAAGTTTTTGTATGCATTGTCTGGGGGAGGAGAAAGGAGGGAGAATATTCTCTTCTTTGAGTTTTAAGCAGTACCTTACCTTCTCAAGCTGCCTCTTCACCTTTCTCTGATCTGCCTTCTTTCTTGCCATCATTTTACATTGGCAGATTTTTGCTTGGCATATTGTTAAATAAGATGGGTGGCCTCCATTGTCCATTATTTCTATTAAGTGCTGCTTCTACTTTTTTTTTTCTATTAACTTTTAATTTGCTGCAGTTGAAGCCCCATCACTGACTTTCAGACCCAAGTGGCTAGGACATGCTATAGCCTGTTACCATGCCTAGACTTATTTGCAGGAGAGGTAGGTCCACAGGAGGCAACTTCTGGACAAGAGACAAGATAAGACTTTCATCATCTTGAATAGTGTTAATTTTAAGCTTTGTTTCTATGTAATTTTTACTAGTAACTTAATCTTAAATTTACTACAGAATATTTTTAATCTCTATTTGTACTTCTGCATTATTATGTGATGGGGAGTGAAGAAAGTGGAAGAAACCAAGAGTCAATTGAACACTTGGTAAGAGAATAGAGGGGAAAACTTGAATGCCTGATCCTAAAAAGCAGCTAAGAGGTAGGGGGAAGGGGACACACACGATGAACTTGTCCCTGGAGCAGCTTTAAGGCAAAATCTCCGTGCTGCTACAAGCCAGCTGATTTTTTTTTCATAGGGTTCTAAAAGATGGTCAGACAGATTTGGGAAAAGCTGGCGGGAGGAGCTCCAAGCTTCTGTAACTGGACTGCTGCGTGGGGCAATGAGACCTTGGTGGAAAAGAATAACCAGGGACTGTCTTGAACAAAACCTGAGTGATTTACATGCATATGTTAGATGCAGAATTTGTGTCTGTATGTTTATATCCCTGGCATACTAATAAACTCTGTAAACTGAAATGCCTTGACACCAGGACTTATTTAAGCAAACCCCCATTCTGATCCGACTCAGCTTTGCTTATGACTTCCATCTGGTCTCTGACCTAAGTCTTCAGAGGTAGAAGTCCAGTGGACTAATCATTACATCTGTTACCACTTCACTTATGTTTTACTACTTGTTTACAAATACAGAAAAATTACACTCCCAAACTACTTGTCTGTTAGGAATTATGAAGCCATGGTAGCAACTCCATAGTTAAGATTGTAACCAGCTTTTTATTATATTCTTCACCTTAACAAAATAAAATCACTGTACTTAACATTTCTTCTGTATAGACTTCTTCCAGAAGATCTTTCTATAATATTTGGCAATCAGGAAAAGGAATTAATGAGGTGACTCTGAAAAATCAGAGGTATTAATGGTACTGTACCAGTTTCCTAACATCTCTAATGTTCTCTATACCTGCTTGGTCTACAAACTCCATATTAACTAATTAGCCTGCTGTGAGGATTGTGGAAACTATAAGCTGAGGTGTCACTTAAATTGCATTCTAACTAACGTTCTGCAGCTGTGCTTGGGGCAGACACCCATGTGGAGCCTCATTGGCTCTAGTCTCTGTAGTTAGTTGTGCAACACAACAAGGTAGATGGAAAAAATCTTATTACTCGATGCTTTTACAGATACAAATCCTTGATTTTCAATATTAACCACTTTGGCTCCAGACTTTCTCTTTCCAGTTGCCATATAGGGGTCAAGAAGGGATTTTCCAGAACTATTTTTTCCCCAGTACACAGCTATTTTTTTTTAATCTACTCTCATTTTGTAACTCCTGAGGAAGTTACATATATCGTATGCATTTTTAAATCCTCATGCCGATATATTCAGTCTCATTTACAGTCAAGCTTGAATATTGTCATGTTTTGAAGTCAAGCATTTGTCTTTACACCCCAAGTTTCAGTTACTTTAATATCCTCTACATACAGCCCCAAATACTCCATTATTAGTGCATTATTCACGCACTATTTAAAATTATAGTACAAACCACAGTCAAATTGGGTCAAGCCAAATGATTTATTCTCCCCCTCTGTGGGTCTGGCATTCAGCCAGTAACACAGCCATTGTGACTCCAATGCAGTCACAAATACTAGCCAGATCTTCCTTTTTCCAAAACAAATTTGGAGCTTTAGATATTGCGCATAATTGCAAAAGGTGAGTTGACAAATTAAAAATGTACTTAACATAGATCATGCATATAGTGCACAGTATGAGGACAGTGTTCTATTTCCTAGCACTTCCCTAGATAAACATAATATTTCTTAAGTTGTACATTAAAAAAAAATTCTGAAAAGGATGAAGGCTGCACATCATGCAACATATGCAGAGCAATTTTTCACATTCTATAAAATATTTTATGCTATTTTCACATGAACATTTGGTAGTATGTACTACATTTTTGTGTAACTTAATAGACTTAAAGACTATATAATGTATGAATTATATAATACAAATCACATATATTATTTCTTGGATGTGTTATGCAGCAAAACCTGCTTATCTGTTCATCTTTCTCTTGATTTTGGAGTTAAAATCACTAATTTTATATTTTTCAGAATGTTATGTTAGTACAAACTTGTGTAAATCTTAATATTCAAATAGAATTATCTTCAATCTTATGCAATTTCTAGATCCTATTAATTTCTGAGAGTTGGTCTTGCTGCATTTTTAAAATTGTTTTTTAATAATCATTGCATACTGCTGATTAAACACAATATCTTAAACTTTTAGTACAATATGAAAGTATTTGGTCGTATACTCATAGAACAAATATATTTCTCAATTACAAGTCTCGAATTTTCATGACCTAGATGAATTATCTGCAGTGTAGTAAAAGTGAGTTTGAGGTCATGGGATCAACTAGCATTCATCTGAGAGTGGTGGTCACTGTTTAAAAATCTACAGGAAGTGGAGAAGGAGAATGCATCTCTGGTATTGGACTATACAAGATGCAATGACATTAACTTAGACTAAACAGGCCATGGAATAATAAGTTGTGTAACTTGGAGTTGAAACAATGGTTACTACTTATCATCTTTTCTATTTAGTAGTATGCAAATGTTGTAGTCATTTATGAAAAAGTGCATACATCTGAAATTACTTTTCTTTTCTTTAACAGAATAATAGCTATCCATCAATGACTGATCCCTATTTGTCCAATTATTATCCACCATCTATTGGGTTTCCCTATTCTCTCAGTGAAGCACCGTGGTCTACTGGAGGAGATCCTCCTATCCCATACCTCACCACCTATGGACAGCTCAGTAATGGAGACCATCATTTTATGCATGATGCTGTTTTTGGACAGCCTGGGGGTCTGGGAAATAACATCTATCAACACAGATTTAATTTTTTCCCTGAAAATCCTGCTTTCTCAGCTTGGGGAACAAGTGGATCCCAAGGACAGCAGACTCAAAGTTCAGCTTATGGGAGCAGTTACAGCTACCCACCTAGTTCACTGGGTGGTACTATTGTGGATGGACAAACAGGATTTCATAATGATACTTTGAATAAAGCACCTGGAATGAATAGTATTGAACAGGGAATGGTTGGACTTAAGATTGGTGGAGATGTAACAACTTCTGCTGTGAAAACAGTAGGTTCTGTTGTCAACAATGCCGGAATGACAGGTGCTCTTCCTGGTAATGGTGGATCCAGTGTAAACTTGCCAGTATCTAAACCAACCTCTTGGGCTGCTATTGCCAGCAAGCCTGCAAAACCACAACCTAAAATGAAAACAAAAACTGGGCCGGTAATTGGAGGAGCTTTACCTCCACCACCTATAAAACATAATATGGACATAGGTACTTGGGATAATAAGGGTCCTGTGGCAAAAGTTCCTGCTCCCCAGCAGATCCCATCTCCTCAGTCTGTCCCACAGCAACAAATGGTTCAGCCTATTCCAGCTCAACCTCCTCCATTGACCCAGCCACAGTATCAAAGTCCTCAGCAACCACCCCAAAACCGCTGGGTGGCTCCCCGCAACAGAAATGCAGCTTTTGGCCAAAGTGGAGGAACTGGTAATGATAGCAACTCAACTGGCAGTACCCAGCCTAACTCTGTCCCAAGTGGCGAATCCCATCCCGTTCTTGAAAAACTGAAAGCTGCTCATAGCTATAACCCGAAAGATTTTGAATGGAATCTTAAAAATGGACGTGTGTTCATAATAAAGAGCTATTCTGAGGATGATATTCATCGTTCCATTAAATATTCTATTTGGTGTAGCACAGAACATGGCAACAAACGCTTGGACAGCGCTTTCCGATCCATGAATAGTAAGGGCCCGGTCTACTTACTATTCAGTGTTAATGGTAGTGGACATTTCTGTGGAGTAGCAGAAATGAAATCACCTGTGGACTATGGCACTAGTGCTGGCGTCTGGTCTCAGGACAAATGGAAGGGGAAATTTGATGTCAAATGGATCTTTGTGAAGGACGTGCCCAACAACCAGCTCCGACACATCAGGCTGGAGAACAATGACAACAAACCAGTTACAAACTCCCGTGACACACAGGAGGTGCCCTTAGAAAAAGCAAAACAAGTGCTTAAAATTATTGCTACTTACAAGCACACAACCTCCATCTTTGATGACTTTTCCCATTATGAAAAGCGCCAAGAAGAGGAGGAGGTGGTGCGGAAGGTAAACTTGCTTTTTTTAGAAAAAAATTAAAGACATAATTGGAAAAATGTGAATGCTGCCGTGAGAGAGTGTGTGTATGTGTGGGAGGGGAAGCTAAGTAGAGATTCTAAAATATTTGTAATGTGTTCAAACATGGTTGTCCTAAGTGTGTTTAATACTAAAACAAAAACCTGTGCTTCAGTTCTGTTTGTGGTTTTCATAGTCTCAGGTAAAGTTTGTTTGTTTGTTTTTTAAGCCAAGTTAAATATACAAGTAAAGTATGTTACATCCAATTCTACTGGAGCTCGAAATTTTATTTTGGGATTGTTAATGGGATACAGAGCCTATGACTGTTTCAAAGTTGGCCCAGGTCAGTGGTTGCCATGTAATAGCTCATTGGCTTCTGTGAATGAGTAGGTATCAGTCCAGTTCGTAGTCAAATATTCTGTCACAACTGGCACCTTTGGTTGTATCTTCAGCAGTGAGGCCAAGGTTTGAATAGTCACTGAACTATTTTCATCCCATTACCTGGCTTCTCCAGAACAAGAGTTGAGGAAAATTACAGTGTGAGGAAGCTTGTATTGCTGCTGCTGTTTGTTGTATGTATTCTGTGGATAAATGAAGGATTTGAGTCCTCCTTCCAACACTAAAAATCACTGGAATTTTTAGAGTAGGGTGTGGGGAGGTGGGGGGAACCTCCAGACAAGGAGTTCCACATTAAGTAGCCTATTTTTATATGAAAGTGTGATTATGAAAAGATTTAGCTACCTCCTTGACCCTTGCCTCAAGTCCTATGCCAAGTGCAGCTCAGCCAGGCCTAAGAATGGGACCCAAATGTCTAACATCAGTGACTCTATATATACACTATGGGCTGACTAAGTAGGATCTGTTAGAATGTAATGGCTAGCTGACACTTACAATGGTTTGATACTGATGTTAGTGTTTCAGTGTATAGTTTTTTCTATAGTTCCTCGGAAGTGTAGAAGTTTGCCAATTCAGCTTAGTGCATTTACATGCGCTTCAAAACATGTTTTAAGCACAGACTTAGATGAAGTGTCCTAAAGTAAAATGGAAGTTGCAGTAATATGGGGCTTTCCCTTTACCACCCTTTAAATTGCTTTAAACCAGTGGTGGGCAACTTGTGGGCTGCATGCGGCCAGTCAGGGTAATGTGCTGGCGGGCCGCGAGACAGTTTGTTTACGTTGACCGTCCGCAGGCACGGCTGCCCACAGCTCCCAGTGACCGTGATTCACTGTTCCTGGATAATGGGAGCTGCGGGAAGCGGCAGCCAGCACATCCCTGTGGCCCGTGCCGCTTCCCGCAGCTCCCATTGGCTGGGAATGGTGAACCACGGCCACTGGGAGCTGCAGGCAGCCGGGCCTGTGGACGGTCAATGCAAACAAACTGTCTCGCGGCCCACCAGCACATTACCCTGACAGGCCGTAAGTTGCCCACCACTGCTTTATACTGTTTGGTTAGGACCTACTCTTACAAATTCAGGGAAATTCAGTTTTAAGGCTTTCATTCAAATTTTAGCACCACTTTTTCAGTCTAGCCATCTTACAGTATATACACATGCAAATTTCAGGCCAATGGTAACTAGTTTTGATGGAGAAGACCTTCAATTCTCTGAATTAGCTTTTTATGTCCTCTGTGGGATTTTTGGAGCAAAAGCTTTATCCATATCCTTGCAAACTTTCTGCCTGCTGAGAATTGTTTCTTCTCACTTTTCCCCAACCACGGCCTTGAGAAGGAGCAGTTTGAAACAGTGGGACAGAACACTGGGCTAGGAGTCGGGAGATCTGCATTGTGTTCCTTTACCACAGATGAGATGTGAGATGGCTAAGGCAAATCACTTAGCCTCTCCATGATAATGCTAAGATTTAACACACACACAAAAACAACCCACCACCGGGAGTGCCTCTTGTGTCAACCACTGAAAGTGGTTTCAGGCCTCTCTTCTTCTCAGTTCAAGAGAAAATATTTAATTCTATGTCCATCCTTGCTAGCTTTATGAATGGGATCATATACTAGCACCTCTCTTTTATGATAGCTGTCTTTATAATATTTAGCTCTCTTTTATAATGGCTCAGTGTATTGACACCAGACCATTGAGCTGACCCCACCTCTGCATTACTTTAACCTGGACTTTCATTTTCTGCTTCTATTTAAAATTAAATATATAAACAAAATGTGCCTATCCAGAGTACTACTTTCTAATAGGATCAGTTTCTCAACAATTAATGCATGTTTTCTGCCTCACTTAATATTGAGGGAACACTGGGATTCAGTTTAATTACAGATATATTAAATTTATATTTTCTAAAGGTATCATTTCTTATATCTGAATAGCTTTCAAAACTGAGCTGTGTATGAACAATAGGAATAGGCTGAGAAAGATGACAGATGATATAGTGAAAAATAATCCGACTATGGCAGTCAATGTAAATTATATTCTGAGAGGAAAGCATCTGTTTTTAACCTAGGTGTAAACAAATTTTGGCAGTGCAGTAGCTTGCTGTAAAAGTTTCCTTCTAAAGCATATGAAGAGTCAAAGCACCTGCTATTGAAATTTAACATACTTGAGAACTCTGTCTTAAACAGACCTTCCATTAAAAAGCAAATATTATATACAGGAATTTTTTGCCAATTAAAGTTAATACTTATGTGTGTGTCAGACTTAACTGTAAAGGGTTTTCAGATTAATGTATCCTTCTATTCATCGTATTTGGTTTAGCGGTCAAATCATTTGTTTAAAAAAGGTCCCTTCCAGTCCTAGAATCTATGAATCTATATTGTCATCATAATTACATAAAGATAGCTTTTTAAAATCTTATACTATTCAAATATGTATTTTTCCTATTTTGCTGAGAAAATCAATAATTGTATGTAATAAAGCCACTGATATCTTAAGAAATATTAAAAATCCCTTTTAGACAGTTTTGCCTACAAATATGAGCAGTGCTGCTTTAACAGTTTAATCACCAAGGGCATGTGCAGAACATGTTCCTTAGAAGTTAATCACCCCCTTGCTGCTTATTCTCCAACTAAAGTCAATCTAAAGTGATACTACATCTTACTTTTGTGGTAACTATAACTTGTCAAATGAAGATTATGACCTCACATGAGGACTAAGTAGCTGTGTAGCAATCTAGTTGGGTAACATTTACCAGAGTGCAGAAGATTCATCCAGGGTCCTCTGCATCACTTAAGACCTGCATTGCCCTCTGTGGATGAAGGAAAGATGTAATCACACTTGTAGCCCTGTATGCTGCTAAGGCAAGATGAGAGGGAATAATAGAATTGTACTAGTGCAGCTCCAATGGCCTAAAACACTCCATACGGTAGAGGCGGGGCATTGGTGGCTATTTCACCCTATATAACAAAATAGCCAGGGAAGGTTGGACATGGATTCACTCCGGCTTACAACCTCTGAGTTTTCTGTTGATAGCCAGTTTACTCTGGTTTTTGTGCCAAGGGAGGGTTCTAATTTCACCCCATGCGATCCAACATCGTGCACTTAAAAATTAAAAAGATTGAAACTTCATAACGTGGGCAAATTTCTCTAAATAGAAGATTTTGTAAATTTACCATGAGGCATTAATAGTTAATGAATCATCCCCAGTAAATAAGCTTATTTTAAACTACAAAATCTTTCTTCAAAATAAAAAAGCTTGATGTGACATTAGCAAACAAAACAAACTTGTTGTGTATTATGGTTTTTTGGGTGTATTTTGTTTGGAACAAATTTGGGGCAGAGGTTGGAGGGGCATTTATGTTCTAGGAGATGAAAATGAAACCTTTACAGATATCGTCTTATATTGATGATCGTAGCTGGCTTGGCAGTCTAGTAACAACACAGTATGCCAGTATCTTGGGGATCTGAGTTCAGGGGCTCTTATACTTCAGAAGGAGAAGGTCTGAAGTGTGTGGCAGAGGATGTGCATTCCACCCCAAGAAGGCAAGGTCATTGTGTGTCTCTTAGCTTCCCGGGTGTCCACTTTGGCCTTGTCTAGGCTAGGATTTGGCAGATGTTAGCTGGCATGTGATAACAGCCTAGTGTAGACCAGTTAGTGTGACTATCACATATGTTTAACAGGTAACAAGTTAAAGGCACACTGAGTTGCCTGCAATAGGGTGTTAACATGTGCCAGTTAACATCTTCCAAATCCTAGTCTGGACTTGTTGGATTTACTGAAGGAGCAACAAAGACGGGCTCTGGGGGAGCTGCATGCCCTGTTTCTTGTCGGAAGGCTCACTGGTATGGAGGTTTTCAGGATGGAAAGTGCATAGCAATGGAGTGCATCCTGCTCTCCCCCACCCCCAAATGCTGATAATTACAGTTGCATTTTTAAGACCAGTGCTTATAACATTACATTTCTTAATTTTAATTGTGCTCTGATAGAGGCTTTTTTTCCTTCTTCTTCTTCTTTTTTTGTGTGTAGTCTACATTTTAGTGGTAGGGAAGAGGAATGCCAATTAAGATTTAATGGGCTCTCTTTTATTGGCTGTTTATTCCAACTCTGTCCTTCTCTCCTTTTTCTGTCCTTTCATCTCAACTTAACCTCACTCCTGCCCCCTCCCTTCACTCGTGTTTTCATCCAGCCTGTCCCCTCCTAACTAAACTTATCCCCCCCAAAAAACAAACAAAAAATAGTGAAACTAACATGCTGTTTGGTGCCATCTTATTTCTTCACTTTACTTGTGAGTTATACCCCTGCCCCCACCTTGTGTCTGTCTTGTCTGTTTAGATCAGGGGTTCTCAATCTTTTTCTTTCTGAGGCCCCCCCAACATGCTATAAAAACTCCATGGACCAGCTGTGCCACAACAACTGGTTTTCTGCATATAAAAGCCAGGGCCAGTGTTGAGGGAGTAGCAAGGAAGGCAATTGCCTGGGGCCCCATGCCACAGAGGACACCACGAAGCTAAGTTGCTCAGGCTTTGGCTTCAGCCCTGGGTGGTGAGCTTGAGGGTCCAGGCTGCAGTCCCATGTGGCAGGGCTTCAGCTTTCTGTCCTGGG